GGTCACTGCTACTTCAGAGAGCTGCCAGTATCCCAAAAAGTCTGCCCCAAAGGGAAAACTCAAATACAATCTTGATGCCTTTCTGTTCTGTGAGAAGGTTTGATCAACCAGTTCTCAAGACCACTCTTGTGTTTTCCAGAAGCTGAGATGGGGAGAGAGAAGGGGAAGAGGAACAATCGCTCCTCTTCTCCCCCCTTTGCCCAATGTACTTTAGAAAAATGTTTTGCCCAAGAGATCAGCAATGCAAGTCTCACGTCAAACAACGTCATGAGAGCTGTCCCTAATGGTTTGAGGACATTTTCTTAGTACTTTTCTCATCCTGACCTTTTTTTACTGTTCTTTTTTAATTTAGTCCACCTGCAGAAAAACAAGCAGCACATCTCAATCCTAAAAATCAAAGCGGAGGGAAATGAATTCATCCCTAAGTAGTAATAAATTATTATTCAATCATGTAAATAAAGAAAGATTAAATAAAAACAAATTCTTCTGAGGAATTCATTACAGTAGATGCTATATAAACACAGAAGTAACCCTTCTGAGAAATAAATACAAGAAATAAAGAGGAGTATAAAAAACAACACTTTAAAGGAACAGTTGAGAAAAATATAATTAGCACTGAACAGAGCTGTGATAGCAAAGAAATACCCTGTTCATTCTGTTTGTGGTCTTTTCGTGAGCATCATAGGAAAGGAAGCTTTTCAGGGAGGATTTGACATAGGGTATCTTGGTTTTCTGGATATTTCTGAGCAACATCTCAGATTTGGAGAACCACAGAGGAAAAGCACCAGGATACTCGTTAAAAATTAAAATGAGCAAGATCCAGACTCCTGATCATCTTAGAACACCAGAGTCAACACATAACTGCGAACAGAGCATGACTGATGAGACAGGAATACGCTCTGGCTCACAACAGTGAAGTCCAAGAGAATTACAGTCACAGCCAGTTTTCGTGCCCTGCACGGCAGCATAAGGCACATTCATATCAGATGAAATTCAAGTGTCCTCTCCTAAATGCAAGAATTCTAACAGCGTTGCAACTATTTAAAAAGCAAGTGTGCAATTTATAATTGTTTTAATACTCCCAGTATCACAGACTACAGCTCAAAAGACGAGGAACAGTGTAGCACAAAATGGAACATAACAGTCAGATATTCAGATATAAATGCTTATACATTACAGCACAAAAACAATTATCATTCATATCATTCTGTACTTACATTCCAGTCAACAGTAGAAAAAAAAGGATGTCTCTTGATTTCTTCAACTCCATCTGAACCAGCTCCTGAACAAAGAAAATATTGTGTTTTAAACACTTTTGGCTACAGACTCTGAATACGATTGCACTAAACATTAGCTTTTAGTTTGTTTGTTTTTAAATCCATTACATACAGAGGCACAGTTATTCATGGTAATCATAAACACTGAAATATTTCAAGGATGCTAAATCCTTCAATGTACACATCAGCAGGGAGGCAAACTGAAGTGCAGGACGCCCAGAGTCTCAGCAGGGTTTTGCTCTGACACTGTCAAAGCAGCATATCTCAGCAGCGAGCCCCACAACAGCTCACTTAAATTAAGGCTATGACAAGTATTTAAATATTAAGTGCATACAGTTCACTCAAATTGAATGAAAGAAAATTCAGTGAATTCCAATTTCTGAAGATCCAAGCAGTTCACCAGACAAAAAGAATGCCTTGTGGAAACCCCTTTAAAGAAGTATTTCAGCTGCTGAAGCTTAAGCAAGACTGCAGAGCTCTGCGGCCAGCCCAGCACAGCCAACGCAGGCGACTGTCAGCCGGAGTAAGGAGGTCGGGATCTCAGCTACCAACAAATGGCCTGCAGAGTCTTAACAACCTTAATAACCACCAATGCCAGGGCTTGAGAGTGTCCAGGGAGTGTTTTCTTTATACAAATTCAGCCATTGCATTTTTATTCCAAAGATAAAAAAAAAAAAAAACACCAAAAAAACACCACACCAACCTAGTCTATTTGATGGGTTCCTTTTAAACAGCATCCTCAGAAGACTTTGTGCCTCCGGGCTGAGGAACTGAGGCATTCCAAGTTTTGCTCTATGGAAAAACAGAAGTATTTAGAAAAATGTATCTTGCTCAAAACGGTCTATGTTAACTTAGCTGTACAACTCAATCTAATAAGGTCATGGACAGTATACATGCTTTAACTTCTTAGCTTTTCAGTTTCACATTTATACATAAGCAATTTTCTAAATTAAAAAATACATATATTTTCAGAGTTCATAACACTGGTACATTATAATTAAAACATTTTTCCCAGAATTAAGTTCAGAGGAAACTCACTAAATTCGCAAATCCTTCTTACATTTCCTAGGCCATGAAGCTCCCCCTGAAGAATGAGCTACTCAGTAAGTAGCTCTTTAAGCCCTCATAAAACTGCTTCACTTTATCAAATCTATTTTATGAGAAGAATTACACTAAATCCAGGTATTTACATGCAGAACTGAATGTTAGACCATCTTCCACAGGTAATATCACAATAAACTTGCATTCATGGTAAATTCAGATTGTCTTATGTAGTTAAGAGGAGAGCTTTTCTTATCTCCTCTCAGATACTGAAAGGCCTAAGGCTCTGCCTGGGGTCTAAATGAAACTTTTAGCTAAGCATAAATCAAGACCAACAGCTGTTTGCCAAACAACTTCACTTACTAATCACCAGTTTATCCAGTTTGTCTTGTTAGACAGCTTATGTTGTAACTGAGGTAACTGGAGATGAAAAATGTGAGCACATCAAGTACGTGCTCATAAATACATACACAAAGCAACACATGATTGTCGCTTACAAAATAACGTATGCTGAAACAGCAGGAAACAGTAAAGTGGTAAATAACGCTTTGCTAATCCACTGTACTGTTTCTAATCTTAATTATATATCTTTCTCATAAAATGCAAGTGATATTCTATACTATTTCCATGATCTTGGATCCACATCTGATTTGTGGGGGGAACTTTTTTGCCTTTTTTGGCTTCCATCCTAGTCCTAATGTGCTCACACAACAGGAGCTACAACAAACTTAAAACATGTTTAAAATTGCATTTCTCATTTTCCAAAAAACAAGAAAATATACTTACTTCAGTATCATATTCATAGTTTCATTTCGATCTTTACCTTGAAACGGTAGCGTACCAGTAAGCATTTCAAACTGAAAAGAACAAATGTTAATCTAAATCAACATTTTTTCCCCCAATTGCTCAAAGTGTTACGTACTGTACTCCTTCATATTGCTACATTTGACATCAAGCTGAACTCCTAAGACATTATTTTAAAAGTTCAAATCAAATTGTTTTCACAGATAAATTACAAGATACCCGGAATGACAAAAGTAACGTAATGCTGATGTAGGAAGACTTTACAGCTAAAATTTGAAAACCCATTTACATTACAGAATCAGAACCTCTATAACCTAGCTTCGTCCTGTAGGAAAGCAGCAAGAAAAAAAGCAATTCCCAAACAATATTCTATTTTTAATTGTAGTGTCAATGTGCACACTTCGGGTCTACACCATTAGGCTGTCCTTACTGCCAGCATAAGGGCAAAGGCATGAGAATGGCAAAGGCTTGAGTACTGGCATTACTGACTTATTTTACTATGCGTCCCATGGGCTTACTTTTACAAAAATGCAATTAAAACTGCATCAAGAACTAAGCCTTCTGCGATTTTTTGTTTGTTTTTCAAAGTACCACATGAAATATATACAAGTTTCACACTTATTTATGAAATTCCTTCATTGCAACTGCTCAAAATATTTAAAGAGTACATGCATTCACGCATAAAACCTCTGAAGTTACTAACAAGTACTCTTTGCAGGGCTACACAGGTAAAAGGTAACTTTTGTTTGCATTAACTGTGATTTCAGCAGCAACTCAGTTAGCAACTTCTCCCCTCCCTCTGCCCAAGAGCCAAAAGCTTAAATGAAATCTGGAATTATTCTAAGCAGGTTATTTAACACCCGCTTGGGACAGAGGGAGTGCGTGTGAGTGCTGTAAGCAGGGAAGCAGGGAACATACAGTACCATGAGCACACCAAAGGACCACCAGTCTGCACTCTGGTTGTGGCCTCGCCTGTTTACCACCTCGGGTGCCATGTATTCTACCGTACCGCAGAAGGAATAGGCCTTCTTCTCTTGGTCTACTGATTCTTTGCTGAGTCCAAAGTCTACAAGAGCATCACAAGGAGAGAGAGGGTGAAGAACGGAGGAGACGGGCGCCGCGTGCGCACCGCGAGCCCGACGCGAGACGGGGTCTGGTGGCCGACATCGAGACACATGGGATGTGCTTGTATCGAGCCACTTTAAATCATTAATCAAAGCCCTCTAAAGGATTAAATTGAGGACAGGCAAGCAACACTGCTAGGCAAAACGTAGGCAATCCAACAGTTAAAACGTTATATTGGGATTCTACATGCAAGAGTTCTCATTTTCTGTTTGCTAGAACATGCTGCCCACTTTATTAATGCACAAAAAATGGATACAAGTGAAAGCGAGTTTCAAAGAGAACACAATCTGCATGGTCTGATATTACTGAATGATGCATAAGTAAAGTCAGGCTAAAAATAAAGTTGTTACATAAGGCAACATGCTTCTGCAACCTGAATCACAAGTTCAGTACAGAAAAGTCTTGCGTGTCTGCTCGTTTTATCTTCAGGATACGTTTTCTCCCCCTTATTTAAACAAGGCTATTGAACAGGAAGGTCCTTGATGTCGACCTGACTCTCCAGATGAAGCTCGAGGTTCCCTTTTATGAAAAGTATTTCTAATGACTAAACCTCTCGGTTGCTCTTCGCACTTCTCAAAAGTGAGAATTTAAGGATTCCTCACTGATCCAGAAAGCTGTTTGAGAAGTGACTTCCAAGACCAACAGAGTTGGGGAAAAACAAAACAAAATCCCCCAAACTAATCTTTCGTTTTATTTCAACTGGAATTCAATTTAAAAAATACCACACAGAATTAAAAGTTACATTATTTAATCAATATTTCCTACATTTTCTCCTCGTTTTAAGCACTTGTGGACAATCAAAATGCCCCATCAGCAAAGTTTTTACAGGACACCAGGGATAGAAGTAAGAAGAGGGGAAAGCAATTCAGATGCTAAAGAAGTCCAAGGGAATTTTAACTAGAAATCAAATATTTTAATATGGATTTAAATATGTTATGTTTTCAAAGAAATCTCACAACTTAAAAAAAAAAACAACCTTCAATATTTATAATTAATGAATACCAGGTCACTCCATGTTAGAAAATACGTGGCTAATAATCAGTTGTTTACAATAAGACTGTTGTGCCCATATATTCCAATGGGTTTGTGAGATTTTAAATAGCTTTTAACACCAAAAATAACTGATCTTCATCTAAAAGGCATTTAATAGTTCATCTTGATGCAGGCCACTTTCTGTTCTGAGGAGTAGATTTGTTTTTAGTTACTAAAATGTCACTTGAACTAACCTGACCTCAAAGGAATCTGCTTAGATAGAAGAATCTGCTAAAGGACTACACTGATTCTTAAGATATTCTTCAATAAAAGTACTCAGTGATACATAAAACCAGTTGAATGAGAAGGGACATGGATTTATTAGAAGACAGAAATAAAATACTTTCTGAACGGCTAAATATAGATGTTATTCATACTCCAACCATCACCACACATCTCACTTGTAAATTTAAGTTTGTGTACAAATATTAAAGTGCTATGCTAATAAATGTTACGTACCTGTTAACTTGATATGTCCTGCTTCATCAAGCAAAATGCTGAAAATTAAAATTCACATTCACCAATAAACAGACATGTTTACATAGAACATTCAAGTTCACTATTATATTTTATATCTTCTCCAACAAAAATACATCCGTTGTCTTAAGTATAATAATATTGGCTTATTACATTATTTTTCTAAAAAAATTAACTATTTTATGTAGTCTTACAAATAAGAAATAAAGTATATATATTTATATATTTTACATCTTTAAAATGGAGAATACAAAGCAATAAGCAAAGTACACGTAATAGTGGTAAAATACATTTTACTTTACTTTTCTGGCTTCAGGTCCCTGTATACAATTCCCAAGCTGTGAAGATGATCCAAAGCAAGGGCCAGTTCTGCGAGGTAGAATTTCACATCTTCCTCTGTAAACATAACCTAATAAGAACTGTATAGATTTACCTTCTGATCTTGTCTTCAGTTTTTAAAACTGTAATCTAAAAGAAAATACTTCTGTCTGCCTAGATTTAAAAAAATAACTTTAACGTGAACCTTATGCACTGACAAAATTCATGAATTTGCCTAACAATGCCTAATATGCAAGAATGGGCTAAACATCAAGTATACAAGAGAATTAACCTTTACACTTAAAACAAACAAAGCTTCAAGGTAATAAATTTAATTATATTTAGTCTTGCTCACCAGCAGTGCTCCTTCTAACACTATAGCCTACATAGACTGTGGGCTACCACTGCTTTCCACTGCATTGTAAAATTTGGTAATATAATTCCTTTTATTGGGGCAGTCTCCAGGTTGACTGTAGCTTTGAATTCGCATTACCAATATTAAGTGGAAAAAGGACACAGAATGAAACAGTAAAATTAAAAATATACAAAAAGCAGCAATAAGAACGGAGGGAAAACATTTTGCCCTTTTCAGAAAAGAAAGGAAAAGGAAATAAAAAAACACCCCCTCCATACACACTGCAAAACAAAAAAACCTCTGAAATAGCAAAAAACTAACTGATCTTGCATCTAGGACACTTTATAGAGCTAAACTTCTGTCCCATATACTAAACAGGTTGCTTCTAGTCTTTATACATACAAATTATAACTGCTTTGGCTCCTGTCAGGTTCTACAAATTACACAAATTACCAGAGAAGCTAATAATCTTTGCAACTCCAAATTAAAACACACACATTTGTTCCTCATTTGTTGAAAACACCAGGACCATGAAGAAGAAGCACCTCAACTGCACAGTAAATGGCTAACAAAGCTTCTCTATAAATTAAAGCAACTGAACTTAATGATTTAGAAACAGACTGATTAGTTCTTTGAACTGCACATAAATAGGTACTCTGTTTTACTGGTAACAAGAAATATTCCCAATTTCCATAGTAACAAGAATTAGTGTTGTGTGAACAACAAAGCTGTTACATAAAAGAAACAGCACAGAAAGTTTCACCTTAATTTCACAAGAGCAAAGTTGATATTGCTTTTATCTATATGTACGAGAAGATAAAACCTTGGGTAGTGTTAGCCTTGCAAAACCAAAACGCAAATCACAAAAAGATGATGACTGGTGATCTGCAATTTTACAATGAGAGCTTCATTTAAAACTAACTTATGTCTTGTTATACTAAAATTTCTACTACAGATATACGATATCTAAGGAAAAATTGACCTCTTGCTCACATAATGTTTCGAAACCATTAGATATATACAAACAAAAATAATTGAAAACCTAGTTCATGTCTTACAGGTAATGGGGAGTTAAACCTCTTTCATCTCAAACAGGGGTCACGTACTCAATTCTGCCATATTAGAAAGTGTCCTTTTCTATGTATTAGAAATATAAAGATGGTCATTCTAGATTCAGCACTTAAAAGCTCTCTTACGGTGAAGTAGTTGGAAAAATTACTATTAAAAATAGAGCTTTATGAAACATTGGCAGAGAAGAAAAAAAGCACTTATAAATAAGCTGTTATTACTTATCCTCATATATGAGTATTTGATGACAAACACTTAAAAATAAATAGGCTGCATCATATTCTCTGCTCTGAAGCTGCCTCCCCAGAAATCAAAAATAGAAATGAAATCGTTCCAGCAATATACCAAGAGTAGGTACAGGGGAAAGAACGTCTTTAAAATAATCAAAATTCTCACTTGGTGAGATTAATCATTAAGACTTGTATAATAACATTATGAAATTTTACAGTCTAGTAGAAATCTTGTAAATACGGGCTTTTATGATCACCTAAACTGACCATGAGCTTTGCATACATTTTTTTTGCTAAATCTTAATGTATTTCAGCTAGGTTTCCAAGCAACAACATTTTTAGATAAAAGAATGGATCTATGTAGATATTATAAAGGAAACATTCTACTTATCAATATATATTGATGACACTGCTTAACGTTGTAGCCCACTATTCTAGAATACATAAGAAAAGTCCCACTAAGTTATTAAAAACTTGACTATGACTAGAATTAGGGGAAACGGCTATAGAAAACAATTTCGTATTGGCAAAAATAACATACAACGAAAAATCCTGTCTAACACTGAGCTGAGATAAAATTTTAGGTACTTACCTCTTTGGATAATCGTGTGAATACATCTCCTCCCCTGAGAAAATCCAATATTAAATATAGCTTCCCTTCAGTCTGAAAGGCTTAAAAAAAGGAAAAAGTTTTATATGACAAAAATGATCTCTGAAATAGATGCTGAATGCCTCATAATTTCAGTATTTTAGTATAATAGAATACTTTGATTTTGCAACTGAAATAATTCAGCTGCATGTGACAAAAGTACATGAATTACTCAATTTTATGAATGATTACTTGCTTCTTCACAGGAAACAACCTTAGTCGTAAGAGATTATTAAATATTGCTATTTCTCCTCTGCCAACAGAAAAGACCCTGATACTTCTGAATTATTATATTGTGATTTTACTCAATGAAAAGTAAAAACATCTAGAAAGCTCTAAGTAGTTTTGCTCACAATCTTTAAGTACAGTGTATCTTATCTATGAATATTTTTGCCCAAAGTTGGAAGTCAGTCCATTAATTTTTTGCAAATCCAATATATTTCAAGCTGATGGCATTAATTTTAAAGAGGGGAAGCTATTAGCAAAAGTTAAAGGCCATCCCTCAAAGAGCTAGTCACTAGATACCAATGCTAAAATTATCCATCAGTGGAGAATCTGGCTGGAGAAATGATGTGGCAGTTTGCCAATATAAGGACTGCAACTCAACAACAGAAAGACACACATGCAGACCCCAAAAAGCCAAGGTAAAGGTGCCATAGAGCTTTCAGACCGTTTGGAATTGTACTTCTAACAAGTTATCAAATATTTACATTCTCTTTCGTTAAAGAATCCACATAGGCACTTTCATAGGGGCATGAAATCATTTAATGAAGAACTTGCTTTCATATTAACCACAAATGCTTTTACAATACTTCAAACACAGGAATAAGTTGTCGTGTAACCAGCACACCGAGAACATGGCTAATTAAACTTTCATATGACCAACTTAACATGTGCATTGGAAGGAAGATCTGCTTGGAATTCCATCCAATTACAGGGGCCTAAAGGTTTTCAAAACATTGCTAGAGATTTACAGCTAAATACCATATATGTATTTGCATCCTAGTGGAAAAATTCCCAAGTTGACAACATAAGGGTCAAGCTATCTATATAGAGGGAATCCATATGAAATAGTTTCAAATATACTAGTGGTCTAAGAATCTTAACATGCAATTATAAAAGGAAAAAATGGTTGGCCTCAGGCAGCAAAACACTGGCTCTGCTAAGTTCTGCAGAGGCTATTTCAGAAAAGCAGTGAGACTTTAGTTTAAAAAAAAAAGTCACATTTTGTAATCAATTGCCATCATGGCAGAACACTTCCTCAAACAGTCTGGCCTAGTGTCATATTTTGAAAGACAGCAATATCTGCCCGTGTCTCGTTTTCTTATTCTTCAAGCATTATTCTTCTTACTCTTCTTTGGATTAACTAGCTTACTTAGCTGTACTTCACAGATCTACGGTTTAATGCACATCACTCCAATATCAAGAATAAGATTAGCAACAATTTCAAGTAGGGAAAAAGTTTAGCAAAAATAAATACCAACCATAGTGCAGTTTGACGATAAAGGGATGATTTACTTCTACTAATATATCTCTCTCCATTTTTGTACGAACTCTATCTCGAACTGAGAAAAAAGAAATATGACTATTATTAAAAAATGTTATTAGGTATAATACAAATGCAGTTGAAAAATACAGAAAGCTTCAACTATTCAAATAATTATTTTCTCTACTACTCATTTCCTTTCTCCCACAAAATCTGTTTTTAGGCAACAAAATTATATTTTATTCCTCACCTACTCCAGGTTTGTCTTCATTTTTAACAAACCATTTTAAACTAACCTTTTTAAAAGACTGAAAAGTAAAAAAGTAAAATACTATTTTACATATTTAAGATCACTTTTTCCTCACTATCTAGGAACGTTTCATGTTTTTACACAGTGGAGCTGCCTGCATTAAAGGGCCTTCCAGAAGCTGGAACCACAGGTTTGCTGCTTGATAGGGCTCCCACAACAAGAGTGAAGAGTTTTGCATTGCAACGACTACAGTGCCCTAACCTAACAAAGATAGGAGGGAAATTGTTAATGAACCTAACTTGCTCTAGTATGAAGAAAAAAGCTAAACAGAATTCAATAATGCAATTTTAAACTTTGAAAGAGCATACTTTATCACATAATTAAAGCTACCTGGCCAGTTTAAAACAAACAAAAAAAATCAAATACAAAGTTACAATGTAGTCTAAAAAAAATCTGGTATCAATGAAAAACTATGTAGCCATTGCGAAATGAGATGTAAGATAGATACTTTTTAAAAAGTTTAAGAGATTCACAAGCCACTGAAAAGCTTTTTTTAAGTGCTACTTAATAAGATACTCATACCTTTTAAAGAAGCTTTTTTCAAAACTTTCATTGCATAAAGTTGTCCAGCATCAGGACCAATTATTTTCCTTACGAGGAAGACCTAGGAATAT